GGTAATCTTGAACGTTGATTAAGCAAGATCAATGACTCAGATTTAACCGCACAACCGCACCTGGGGCTGCCAACAACACCAGAACCTCTATATATATATATATATATATATATATATATATATATATATATATATATATATATATATATATATGAGTTATAGTGCAGAGATAGCTTCCTGTGCGATTGTGTAGTTAACACAAAATGACGCATCTTAAGCATTAAATAACGCACCTTAAACACACAAACAAATCACCTTATAAAGAACACAAATCACACATCTAAAGTTTTAAAATTGCACACCTTAAGTACACAAACTACTCACCTTAAGCACACAAACAAAGCATCTTAAGAACACAAACTACGCACCTTAAGTTTCAACAACTGATGCACCTTAAGCATACAAATCACACACCTTAAGAAGGAAAACCACGCACCTATACCTTTAGCCCGACACACCTTAAGTTTCAACAACTGACTCACCTTATGCACACAAACCACGTAACTTAAGAAGGAAAATCACGCACCTTAAGAAAGAAAACTATGCACTTAAAGCTTTAGATCGACGCACTTAAGTTTTCAACACCTGACGCACCTTAAGCCACACAGTACAAAAACCACTCACCTTAAGCATAAAACCACGCACCTTAAAAAGGAAAACCACGCACATTAAGAAGAAAAATCACGTACTTTAAATTTGACCTAGATGCAAAAAGATCAAATTGTCACCGCACGTTTTTTAAATCGCTGTTATTCCTGGACATTGATTTAGGCAATATCAATGACTTAGATTTAAATATGTATGTATGTATTAGATCAAATGAGAACAAGTCCTTAGGAGAGAAATAAGAAACAATCTCAGCCATACTCAGACTTTTTCAGGTTTGCACATTAGTATTAACATTTTTCATATTTAGTATTAAAAGATTGCACTTGCAAAAATGTGAAAGGACATTGGATTTAATGTTTCGATTTTAGAGTATATAATTGAGTTTTTCGTTTTATTTCGTTTTGTAGTTCACTTTTTACTGCTTAAGATCTAGCATTTACGGTTTAGATTTAAATTTTAGATTTCTTCGTTGATTTTATAAGATTAACAAGTTTACATATTTATTTGTTAATATTGCATATTTAAGTGTTCAAATTTGCATAGTAAAGTTGATATTAATTACGAAAATACCATCATTTTTTTAAAAGATGGCCAAATCCATCAAATATTTACATATGTAAAGCTGAGATTGCTTTTTATTTCTCTCCTATGGTAATATTCTCACAAGATCTTTAGCGCGTGTATATATATATATATATATATATAGAACCACTGCTTGGGTGTGAACTTGTGAACTCTTATGCACTGTTGTGATGTGAGATTGGACAGTCGAGATCTGAGGAGTGGTGCATCCAGTGCAATGGTACAATGGTGTAGTGATGTATATTTACCAGGTCAAAATCATTATACACCACAAGATTGAGCTAGATCAACGGTGCACAATGATACACAGGTTCACATGTTAACAAAGGTTCTCATTTGAATCTAATATATATATATATATATATATATATATATATATATATATATATATATATATATATATATATTTGCGCGTGTGTGTGTGTTTTGGTGCGGCTCTCCTTTTCCGTGCGGACATGTCAGAGCCGTATGATGAGTTGAGATCAAACTGATGGAAATCAATAAAGAAGAGAAAATACGCTGTGGCAATTTCGTAACTTCATGCAATATATATATTTCGGCGGTGCATTACGTGCTAGTGTGTGGTGCACTTATGAGTGTGATGTGGTGCATTTTTGAATGATACGTGGTGTACTTAATCTGTAATATACTCAGTATTGCACCATTCCTAGCAATGCAATACGTGCTAATGTGTGGTGCATTTATAAGTGCTATGTGGTGCATTTTCGAGTGATATGTGGTGCACTTGATCTGTAATACACTTAGTATTGCACCATTCAATGGGGGTGTCAAACCCGTCGAAGGGTTCAATAGACTCATTGGTCTAAGGGGTGTCAATTGTCAAATCCATTGACGATTTCAATAGATCCGTCAACGGGTTTAATAGACTCGTTGGTCTAATGGTACTACTTAGCGGGTCTATTGAACCCACACCATTTTTCCCTATTCGGTGGTGCACCACATAGCACTCATAAATGCACTACAAATCAACACTTGTACCACCGAAATATACATTGTGCACAAAATTACAAAAATATTACCGCATTTTTTTTTCAATTTTGGTTGATTTTTAGTCACTTGATGGTTCACCACAGAGCACTCATAAACGCACCACTCAACAACATTTAATGAACCATTGAAATATACATGGTCAAAAAAATTACAAAATTACCACCATTTTTTTCTTCTTTTGATTTGATTTCTATCTGCCTGATCTAATCTCATTCTAAGGTTCTGATATGTCTGCACCACCACACAGGAGACCATGACCGCATTTGAACACACATACACACACACACACAAAAACATT